TTAAAACTAGCGAACGCTAAAGAAATGGTTTAACAGGGACAAACTATCATTAAATTTGAACAAGACTAAAACTGGGTTTTTTTTGGAAACTATTACAAAAATGCTCAAATTCAAAGTCCAGATAGAGAGTGTCATTCTTGAAAGGATAGCTATATGATAATTAATTCCTTGGAGTAATAATTGATGACAAAATCAGTTGGAAACCTCACATTAAACATTTACAGAATAAATTATCTAGAAGTATTTCAGTCCTGGCTAAATCTAAATATATTCTGAACAATAAATCCTTTTATAGTCTTTATAATTCACTGATTCGACCATGTTTAATGTATTGTTCAGATGTGTGGGGAATTAATAATAAAAGCTCTTTACAACCACTGTGTCCTACAGTAAAGAAGCATCAGAATCATCCATAATGCAGGTTTATATGAAAACACAAACATTTTATTTTCAAAATCTAAAATTCTGGTAGAATTTAAAATTGCTTAAATTATGTTCAAGGCATCAACTAAATTGTTACCTGAGCACATGCAGAAATAGTTATATGAAAAAGAAGGGAGATATAATTTAAGGGGTAACTTAAACTTAANCAATGGACCTGACATCAGGCTTTTATAATGTCCCATTGCACCCTGACGACAAGAAATACACAGCATTCTCATCACCCTTTGGACTTCACGAATACAATCGTCTCCCTCAGGGTTTGTGTAACAGCCCAGCTACATTCATGAGGATGATGATGTCCATATTCGGTGATGAGAATTTCACAAGCCTGCTGTGTTACCTCGATGATCTGATGGTTTTTGCGCCTACAGAAGAAGCTGCACTCCAACGCCTGCAGATGGTGTTTGCTCGCCTCAAGGAACACAATCTTAAGCTCGCACCCAAGAAGTGCTTCTTTCTCAGGCGGACAGTGAAGTTTCTTGGGCATGTTATCAGTGATGATGGTATTCGAACAGACCCCGAGAAAGTTAGAGCCATAAACAACATCCAATTCACTGATCTTATGGAGTCTGACGGGAAAACACCTTGCCCTAGTAAAATCAGATCATATCTTGGCATGGTAATGTACTACCAGGGTTTCATCGAGGGATGTTCTGCAAAAGCGAAACCATTGTTTAAGCTCACAGCTGAACTTGGTACTCGACACAAACACAAGAGAGGTCGAAAACCTGTCAAAAAAGGAGGTTATGTGAAGTTGACACCTGCTGATTGGACAGACGAGTGCCAGATCGCTTTTGAGACACTAAAACATGATCTTATGACAAGTGTCACTCTAGCCCACCCAGATTTCAATGCTCCGTTCATTCTAGCCGTTGACGCATCCTTTGATGGGATTGGAGCTGTCTTGTCGCAACTGCCACCTGGTGGACAAGTAGCCAGACCTATTG